AGCTAGCAAGATGCATAGTTCTTTTATGATTTGTCAAATAAGTAAAAGTTGAAAAGTACTTGTTGCACATAGAACAATAAAGACGCGAATAGGTTATTTAGTTAAGGGATAGGTAATGCAAATTGTACCTGAGAATTTTCAAGAGATCGTAATATTCAAGGAGATGTATAGGATTAGTGTAATGTCCGTCTTTAGATTTTGTAATTGGAGGCAAAAAACTATTATTCAAAAGAAGGAAATCCATGGCTTCTTTTACACGAGAAGGCTCACAACAGCTTGCATTAGTGCAACGTTTAATATTAAGGGAATATTGACATAAGTTGCAGTGATTTTAGATCTATAACCATAGCATAAAATATTCTGGTAAGTCGTTTCCTTTTTCTTGTTTCTTTTTTGTTTTTTTTGTTCCACTTTTTCTTTGTCTATGCCTTCAAACTCTAGGTTTTCGAATGGATTAGTAAGCTTTTTGATATACTGTGCATCTACACTTCTTCCAAAAATCAAATCTCGATGCCAAATTTCACAAAGTGATTCTCCAGCATATCGAAAGTTTCAAAGGGCTAACTCTGGATCAATCACTTTATCTTGTGAATTTAAGTGAAATCCAAAATGATCAATTGGTAGTGTGACACCTGTTAATTTTCCAGACAGTGTTACCATTCCCTTTTAACGGGATTATATTTGGACTGTCCTGTGGCATGTGTTCGTATAGTCAGGTAATCTAAATCAAATTTTTGAAAAAGTTGACAATAAGATTTAATGTTTTTTAAATGTTTTGGGTTCTCGTCTGGTCTTCCATCTACTAATAACACCTAAATAGGTTGAATTTCTCCATTTTTTTTCAACACATTGTTATATTTAGGATCTAGGATAAGGCTTTTGAGGTCTTGCATGTATGTGAGTGAAGACATACCAAGGGATCATTGATGACGTACAAAAATGGTAAGTTATCCTGTTCGTAAATCATCATTTAATTCATTTGATTTTATCATAAGATAAACTGATGGAATTAATTTTTGCCCATTTCCTAGAGGGAAATCATGATTAGCCATACTAACAGGCTCATGAACTAACTGCAACGTGCGAAATGTCTGACCTACAGTAGGTACTCCAAGTCCTATCTTCACCTTATTGTTTTGGAAAATAATGACAGAATTTTCAGCAAAGACAGTGGCAAATTGTCTTGCGTATTTAACAGATGCAAAACAATAATGACCATCAGGATGGTCTCATGTTTTAGTACGTAAAACTCCAGCTACTGCGACCCATGCTAGATGATGATGTGCTTTTGCAGCAATGGAGTTGGATTGGTGAGGCAGCAGGTAATTTTTCAATATTGTTCTCACCATATAAACATTATAATTCTCTTTAAGATTTTTGCGCAAATTTTCAATAATTCGCACTTTAATCACTTCTTTTTATCGTCTTTTATCAGCTGCTTCAAATTTGATTGAATCATGGATATGATCGTGTAAATCCAGATGTTCAAAAAGAAGTGAGGGATGACCAGGCTTATCATATATTACTACCTTTTTGTTCTCGATAAGTATTTTTCTTTTCTTTTCTTTACACTTTCGAGTATATTCAGCATTTCTTTTAACTTAATGATTCTTTCTTTATTAGATTTGATTTCAGCTCAAAGACTTTCTATTTTTATATATGTATCATGCTAAAATTAAGAATCTGTCGTGATGTTATATATCTGCTCAAATTCAGCAAGATTTTTTTCAGCTGTTATTATCTCGCTTGCTATCTTTCTTTGTGCTAATGCATTGATGAAAATTTCTGATACAGGATCGATTGAACAAATCGTAGGAAAAGTAGGAAGAGGAGAGATCGAAGCTTTTCTAGGCACAGAAGGCCTTGGTCTCATTATTTGTATATCAGATAAATTATATGGTGTAGCTAGATAATTTCTAATAATATCTTCAATTTCTACTTTACTTTTGTTTTTAATTTTATTCCATTCTTTTGTTGCTTCATCATAAATATCAGCGTGATTGGGGTACCATTTCCAGTTTTAACCATAATACTATATATATAAGCATTAGAAAATTCTTAATACTTATTTGTTAGTAAATTATATATCAGTTTCTTATTGAACTTGAGGCTAACGAAGAAAGTTTAGTTCATTTTTGCATTGGAAATAGAATTATTATACGTTTATTTATAAAAAAGTTTTATAATCAAAATATGAAAGTTGAGCACGTCATAAAACTTTGTAGCAATTCAAATTTCTTTTTTTGTAACGAAATAATTTTCCTTCGCAGCAATTCGAGTTTCTTTTTTTGTAACAAAAAAATGCGAAATAATTCCCTTCGCAGCAATACGCAGCAAGATATGATCCTATAAAGAGAAGATCAACATCATATTTTCGATTTTGAATCTTTTAAATATATTTTTTTTAATATAAAATAGACTATTATAATAAATTTTACTATTTTTTTATCATTTTTAAAATTTATCATTTTTTATTATAATATATTTGATATGATATTTTACAACTGATAAAACATACTAATATATGAGTTCTATAAAAGAAAATTAATCAACATTCACGTGATCAAAATATCTTATCTGGGGGTGAGGGGTTAAGGCTTATAATAAAGTGATATTAGGTAATATATGTCACTGCTCTTATTATATTTTAATTTATCAATTAAATTTATTAATCTATTCATAGAGCATCATCAATATTTTGCTCATTAGTTTCAATAGAATTTAATTGTAAATCTATTAATAAAGTCACTTATCGTCTATATATAAGATAAAATAAAGTGTATCATATACTTTTATGTTTCATTATTTAATAGGTAAATAATACTAATAAAACATAAGTATTTTATTCATTTCTTGATCATATACTAATTTAGCTAAATACTCTCCTATAATACAATAAAATCTTTCTATTATTCTATTTGTTTAAAATCGATATGGTAATGTTAATCAACATTTTATTTGAAACTTTTAACATAATTATACTACTACTTAATTCATAAATAATGTTTCTCAATTTGTAAGTATCTCCTTAGATACACTATATTAACATATGATTACTTTATATAGAAATTTTGTTACTATGTTAGCTTTAATATCTTTGATGACTTTAGCTTCTGACTATTTTGTAAAATAATCTATTGCAACTATTATATATCTATTTTCTGTTTTTGTAATAGATAGTGATCCTTTTGTATTTAATCCTACTTGATAGAAAAGTGCTTTAACTAAGATGTCTTTCCTTATATTTGATCCACTTTTACAGATAGAATGCTATTCAATCAAGCATAATCCTGTTTGATAACTATTAAACTAATCAGGTTGTCGATTGTATAATATAAAATAATTAGTATGCACAAAAATGAGTAATCAATAAGGCACATTTCTGATAGATATATATAGGTAAAGTAAAGTTTAATCAGTATTAATCTGATTGATAACTATTAAACTAACCAGTTAACCTAATAAATACTATATAAAAAACTTATTCACAATAAAAATAGGTGATCGATAGGATACCCATACAAGTAAATTGAAGTTCAATTATACATAAACCAATCGACAATTAGCTTAGTTGACACAATCGATAAGGTATTTCAAATAAATGTTATTAAATAACTGATTCATAAAAATTAAAATAAATGAAACCCAATTTATAATACATTTATTTAAGTAGCAATAAAATGATTGTAATAAAATTAAAATAATGATTATAACAGACAATAATTATAAATGAAACTACCTATTAATTGGTATTACTGGCATATAAGATTTACTGTTTGTTTTCTTTTTTCTAATAACAAAATTAGCGGAAACAAACCGACTGTAGATATTATGTATTGGAATTATGCTGTTCTGAGATAAATCATAAAATTCAGCAATTTTCTAAAGTTTAATGTTAACACTTTGATTATTCTCTTCAATTCGACAATGAAATCTAATTTTGTGATCATCAACTAGTAGATACCACTTAATATAGGCAAGCCTATGCATCTTGATGATACCATTCAGAAACCGCAATGTATGTTCAAAAAAAATTGAACTTGTCTTAGGAATAATTCTATTGAATTATCACTTTAGATAAACAATGTCAAAATATGCAAATTCTTCTTGTATCGAAGTGATAATGCAGAACTGAAAATTTCAGCGGCTATTCAAATTCGTCCACATTGGTTAATTGTTAGTTGAACAATTGAATAGTAATTTGATGAATCATTTTGTAACCTCTTTCAATTAAATCAGTCATTAAAATAAATTCAACATTCATATCATCATATGCTTCATTATAATAAGTAATCAACCATTTAAATACATTATCAGATAAATCGACCTGTTTATTTATTGGAGATAATATTTCTCCTAGAAATAATTCACTTCTGGTGACTGTATCTCCTGATTTATGACAAAATGACCTCCTGAATTAGAGCAATTCTTCAGCATTGAAACTATCGTATGCAGCCAACGATCCTAAAGTTTTCCGAGATCTGATTAATTTAAGCCCATTAATAAGTTTCAAATTATTTTATTAAATGAAAACTAGGTTATCAATTTTATAATTTTGCATTATAATTCTCAACAATTCTTGTTCGATACAATGTTGAGAATTAGGAAAGGATCCTAAAGAGCCAAATCAATAAATCAACATAAGTATAAACTAGCCGAAAGGTCAATAATTTGTAATTTAAATACTTATCTAATACACCATTCATTCTTTTGAATGAATAGCACCAAAAAGAGTATAACGGGCCATAATCTCGACAACATTCGGCAAGATGAAGGGAGAAATGAATATTTGGCATAATTAATTGTTGACCATAATGTTCCTCTATAAGCTAACCAACTTTAAGTAAACGTGCATGAGCTTTGTTTAGCATACTATTATTAATGACTCTACAAATTAATAAAGTACAAGCCCTGACAAAATTTGCTAAAATTTGTCAATCTGAAATAGATAACAAATCCCACATTAATGATGTTACGTATATCAGGATGAAGGTTTTCCATTAGTCAGCAGTAAATCCAGAAAAGCCTTCACTCGTAGCAATTTTATTAGGAATCCGTCCTAAATCAGCTAAAATTTTAATTGCTTTGGAACGTTTTTCCATTAATTCAAGATCATCTTTGGATATTTTTTCATCATCGATCCACAACCTTTTTACAATCCAATTGGCGATTTCCAAGAACAGGTTATATATAAGATCTATAACACAATACCAAATTGGATTGAAATAAGGTAATCTAAGTAGCTCTGTCTATCTGACAAATGTATTAGAGATATGTTTCTTCCTTTCTTCTTGTGTTTGATATCTACGCTAAGCAAGAGTATTTCATCAGAATGCTTCTAAATCCCTCTGTCTAAACCAATCGTTTATGTCGTCAAAGCCACTGAAATTAGGTCTTTCTTCTTCATCATAATTACTGGTCACCTTATAACATCGATGACAAGCAGCCAACGCCGATATATGTCCGCATAATTTTCTTGCTGCCGGAATATCACTATTACAGCAAATAACTGCTATTTGAATTATTCTGCCACTTGGATAACTTGCTGTTTTTTGTAATTCAACACCTGTCCAGAATTTAAGTAATTTATCGATAATCGGTAATAGGTAATGATTTATTTTATAGGTCTGAATTTCATTAGATCTAGGCAATAAACCCAATATTAACATATTTTCTTGTCGAAAACGTATTTTACGAGGAAGATTGCAGATAATACCATATATCACTTCAGTACTATATATCAAAGAATCGAATGGCTAGAATCAATCAATATTAATAATTATTCTAAGATGTAAATCTGCAAACTCAGGTGCAAAAAACAGACCGCTTTCTGGTTTAACTGACGACAGAAATGTCTTCCACATCTTTCTATCGTAAATATCAGCTAGTATATTTTCATCAATATGTCAATGTATTCACTTTGTCATATTATGTTTAAAGTCAGGTTGCTGATACATCGCAAAAATCTGAGATTTCAAATCTGGTATAGAAAATACCATACAGGGCGTTTTATATAACCATTAGTTACTGGAATATTTTTTAGTAGTACCATTCCACATTCTGCCTGATGTTTCTTCATTGGATGATTAAGAAACTTAACAAATTTACATTTATTGTCTTCTGAAATTTCTGCACAATTATGTAATTTGTTACATTTTGGATATACGGTATATATTTTTGCAATCTTTTCAATTTGTAACAATTTCTTTGCATTGTGAGATGAGGATGGGAATTTATGAAATCGCCTTAAATCAACATCTTTTAATACTTAACTGAAAAATGCAATCAAGGAATTTATAGCGACATCAGATAGATGAAATCTCGATTAAAATTTATATATCCATAATAATATCCAAGTTTCAGAAAACTCAGTACTTGGATTAAGATATGTAAAATCATTACTGTCATCAAAATTATTCCAATTAGAAGCTGTAAATCGTTCATTCTGAAAAAAATCTCCTTTGTTATCATCAGAATTTTCAGAATCTTTACTTTCATTATTTAACATAGATTCTTCGTCAGATAATATAAAATCTAAATAAGGTTCATCATCAACTTCTGATTCCAATTCTTTGAATTTTTTATTTTTTCTTCATTTAGTTTGAACAGAAATCGGTCTTTGTTCTAAACTTATGTCTTCTGAAGAACTAGATGAATCGACTGAATCTGACGAATTAGTTGAATTTGAGGTCTCTGAAGAGTTCAATTTTGATGTCTTTTTGTCATCATTATCCTGTCAGGCTCTTTTCAATATTACTTTCGTTAATTTTGATGATGTTTCGTATCAGGTCTCCATCTGTTGTTCTATTTTTATATATTTTTTTCGTGTTCTTAGATCAGTCAATTTTTTATTACATTTACTACAAGGACAACTAACTTTATTTCTTGAGTACATCATTTAATTAAAAAGAGATAAAGAGACAAATAATATAAATTTTGACAGGATTTAATGGTATATAAATACTTGATTGTAAATTAATTATTAATAAAATAATTTATATTGTTGTATAATTAGTCTGATTTATTATTCTTTAAAAAATTAAAAATAAAGTTACATATTTAGCCTGATTGATAAAAGGTTATTAAAAATAATTAATTGATCAATAGTCTGAAATTATGATCAATAGCCTGAAAGTATGATTTTTGTTGTATGATTTTAATACTGCAGTTAATTAATTAAAATTTCATATGATTTTTAAGAATACATTATATTAAAAGCTTAAAAGTCCATTTTTATAGTAATTCAAAAAGTCTAATTTATGACGATTGATATAAAAAAGTCTGTTTCTAGAGATATAAAAGAAACAATTTTTCAAACAACTTCTCCCGATTTTTTATATTTTATTAATTATTTAACATTAGTTATTTCATTCTACCTTCTGAAATTTATTTATTATGTCAACGAGAAAATTCAAAAGTCATGAAAGAGGCAGATCCAGAACAAGAAGTACAAAGTCACTGAAACCAATAATTTAGGAGCTTCTGGATTCCAGAAAATTGAAAAGTCGTGAGCTCCCAGATTTCAGAAAATCGAAAAGTTGTGAGCTCACAAATTCTAGAAAATTGGAAAATCATGAGCCCTTGAAATTCAGAAAATTGAAGAGTCAAAATTAAAAAATCAAAGAAGCCGTAGTAGCAGTTCGTTTTCTGAACCTAGAAAGCTAAGAAAATCTAAGAGCCGCAATAGTAGTTCGTCTCCTGAATTTAGAAAACTAAGAAATTCTAAGAGTCGTCATAGCAGTTCGTCTCCTGAACCTAGAAAGCTGAGAAATTCTAAGAGTCGTCGTAGCAGTTCGTTTCCTGAATCTAGAAAGCTGAGAAATTCTAAGAGCCGCAGTAGCAGTTCATTCCCTGAACTTAAAAAGCTAAGAAATTCTAAGAGCCACAGTAGCAGTTCATCCTCTAAATCTAGAAAAGATGTCAAATTTTCTTTAAAATTAGATCTGGAATTAGAAGTAGCAATTAAAGAGAAACATTTCAGAAATAAATATATTGAAATTGGTAAGCTTTTATTATGATAATATAATGTTGTATGATTATGCAATCCTTATTACATCTTTTTATTACTATTTTAAAAGATTCATTTACCAAACAAGATCAAGCAAATTATTTATTGGAATATATAAAATGGGCCAAAAGAGAAAAACAAAAGGAGATAAATCTGAAGGATTTAATTCTAAATTTCAGCGATGTAAATACAAGTAAATTATCCGTGTCAAATAAATCAATTAGTAAAAGCCGACCGCTCAAATAATCCAATTATTTTAGACAGCGATAATGAGACAGAAAAAAAGAAGCTAAGAAATGAACGAAAATGACAATGATCGGCCTCTCGTTCAAGTGCTGAAGAAAATGATAATTCGAACAATGTCTTTAGGAAAGTAACATACCTCCACTTATCAGATTTAACAGAAGATCTGTGTAATGCTTTACGTGTAAGTAAATTCTTTTTTTCAGATCATTTTTATTTACGGATTTTATTAATTAAAATCAATAAATATTTAGCAGGATATCTTCTGAAACATCCAACGAATGCTGAAAAATAACTAACTTGATATTAATGAAACATTCGAATCACAAAAGAGATTGGTGACGACATCAATAATACCTGCTTTGTTAAAGGTATTAGATCCAGAAATGTACCCAATTGGCAAAGGTGTCCTTTACGAAATGATTCATCAACGCCATCGCCACTAAAAGAAGGAAATGTTGAGGAAAAAAAGGACAAAGCTACACAAATAAAAGAAACCTAATGTTGACATGAGAATTCTCGCAGAAAGAAGATAATAAACCAATCAGTTTATTAATTATGTATTCAACTAATCATTCAATATATGATGTATATAACAAATTTATTAATAGAAAAGAACACAAAGGGCTAACGTAATTAACCACTTACAAAAAATAGGAAATCTGATTGTTTCGAAATTCTGACAAATGGAACTTAATCCAATTTTAATAAAAAGTGCTTATCATAGTCTGAAGGTTTCAGAGATAATGAAGAATTGAATATGGGAGATCATTGTATTGTAATACGAGATTTGAGTTAGAGAAGCAGTACTGTAAGTACAAGATAAATGTTTTCACAATTTACAACAATACTAATTCATTTGATATTTTCAAGTTGCGTACATTTTTAAGAGGCTACCTAGATGCAATCTTCTATCAGCAAAGATCCGATAGAAAAAAATGCACGCAAATTTATGATAACAATAATTTTGCTGCTAATGAAATAAAGGTCCTATTAACGCATCTTGATGGACTAAATCGGGGTATATAGGGTTGATGAAGGCTATTATCGAGAAAGCGACATCAAAATATGATAATAGAAATAAATTAAATGTGTTAAATTCATATATCAATTCCCATGAAACTCCTAAACCACCTGAGCCCTAAACATCAGATGATAGAAAAGATCCAAATGAGAGTGATGAATGAGTATGTATGAAGATGTGAATATTAGCGAGAATGTCAACTATACCCTGATTTCTAATGCATTCATATTTTTTTTTAATAGAAACTGACTATAGATTTTTTTTCTTTTATAATGACTTATATTTTATCATAATAGAGATATTATAATAGGGATATTATTAGCAAATATATTGTATTTTATGTGTATATAATTAATAATACAATTAATAAATTGGTTAATCTCTGCATTTAAAATTGGCTAATACTTCATTATCGGGTAGTACCTAGTTGTTAAATATGGGTAATTTAGCATTGACATAAATTATTATGATTACATCAATCGGGCATGCCAAAATCAAATAATAAAACTAACGATTATTTAGCTACACATTAAATTTTTAACAATTGGTTATCAATTGGCATGCCGAAATCAAATAATAAAACTAACAATTATTTGGCTACACATTAAATTTTTAATAATTGGTTATCTACATGTTAATAAATTAATATCAATCGATATGCTAAAATCAAACAAATAAAAAAAAATATCAGATAACAATAGGTTGACTATTGTCATTCCAATTGATAACCATGGCATGCACAATTTAAGCCATTTTTATACTTGCAATCAGGTATCCTGCTAGTGTTAAATAAAAAAAATCAGAGTCTATTCATACTGCAATAGGGTAGCCTAAATGGACCCCAATTTGACATTATCTGACCTGTGTTTATTGGCAATTGTCACAAATTTTCACATATTCTTTGATATCTTCGAATATTTATGACTAATAATATCATTTTTTAGCTTTATTATATACTGTTTCAATTCCTAAATAAGCTCCTGATATATCTTTATATAAATTAAATAAGAGTACTTCTACTTGTTCTTGTATAATTACTCTTTTAATTCTTTCTTAATTATTTTATATAATTGTGGATTTTTAACAATGTAATAGGTTGATAGTTGTTAAATTTGTTTCTATTGAGAATATCATAATTTTCTGGATAAGAAAGATTGGTAAAGTATTGAATTACATTTTGATATTATTGCTTATTCATGATCTATTATTAATGTTAATAGTTATAATGTGTTTGATACCTGTAATTCATCAATTCTTAAGAAAGTATTAGCATTTACATTTACCTTTCTTTTACGATATTTTACCTCAAATTGGAATTGTTGTAATAGAATTTTTTAATAGATAATTCTTTTACTATCTTTTTCTTAGTGGATTGATTTAGTAATCACTGTAATGCTAAGTAATTAGTATATATAATAAATGCATTATCCAATATCTTCTAAAATATTTAACTGACTATACTATTACTAAAACCTTTTGTTTAATAATATGATAATTCTTTTCTGCTAAGCTTAATGTTCTGCTTACATATCAAATAGGATGTTCTTTTCCTTTATTATCTTTTGTAAAAATACTATATCTAATCCTGTAATACTTGTATCAGTACTCAAAATAAAAGATTGATTAAAATCAGAATAGGATAATATTAATGCAATCATTAATTTTTTCTTTAGTATTTTAAATCTTCTGATATTATTTTGTCTAATTGTAAAGCATATCCTTTTTCAGTAAATCATTCATTAAAATTAACAGTTAGAATAATTCTTAATAAAATGTTGATAATAGAAAAATAATCCTAATATGGTTTGTAATTGTTTAACATTAAATAAAATATTGAGATTAATGATCTTTTCAATTTTTACTGGATCAAGTTATATTTTTTATCTAGATATTATATGTTTTAAAAATTAAATTTCATTTGTATAGAAATGACATTTCTCTAAATTTATTTTCAATTAAGCTTTTTTTAATAAATCAAAAACTTGTTGAAGATGTTACAACCCTATAAAAAATTTGCATACGTTTTTTCATTATTATAAATAAGTTTTGTATACGTTTTTTAAAATTCCATATCAC